GTAGAAACTTTTCAGATAATAAAACACAACAAATAAAAATCATGGCTTGACACAGTCCTTAATCTTGATCTAGTTGGATCCTGTTTTCTCCTTTAAAGTTGCACACAAGAGAAAGGGAAAGCAGATGTCCCCAAAGGATCCCAGAAGCCAAAGATGAAAACAAGTCCAAGAAGGAATTAATGTGTAAACTACATGTGCATACACACACACACACACACACAAATATAATTTAAGCCAAAAAGAATTAATCATGTTCACATGGTGTCTAAAACTAGTAAGGAGCCAGGCGGTGGTGGCAGATGCCTTTAATCCCAGCATTTATGATGCAGAGGCAGGTGGATCTCTGTGAGTTCAAGACCAGCCTGGTCCACAAAGTGAGTTCCAGGACAGCCAGTACTGTTACACAGGAAACCCTGTCTTGCTTAACAAATAAATAAATAAACAGATAAATAAATAAATCCAGCAAGAAGAGATGAGCCATCAGGCAGACTTGGGCTGTGTGGCTGTGTTTCTATGAGCCATTTGTAGACTGAAACCTGTCCCTTGGAGACAGGGGGAGGGAGAGGCTGTGAGTTGTGGCTCCCGTACCCTATCTTGGCTATGTTTACACAGGTGCGAAGTTATCAAAACACTTGGAACTGCGCCCTTAAAATATGAGGGTTTTATTGCAGGAGAAGCAGATCTCAGTGAGGCTGCTCTTTTTAAAAAGCCATGTTTCACAGCAGCAAGATAATATGGAAAACAGCTTATAGTTATTGCCCTAGTTTTCCTTTTGTGCATATTTGCATATACAATCACCCAAGCATTAAGCACTTTGTGCATATAACACTAGTTTTTCCGCTTTCTAGATTTTTTTAAAGAAGATTTATTTTTATTTTAAAATTATGTCTGTGTGAGAGACTAAGTGCAGATGAGTACAGGTGCCCGCTGAAGCTGGAAGCGTTGGCTCTCACCCTGGAGCTGTAGTTACAGGTGGTTGTGAGCTACCCCGATGTGGGTTCTGGGAATCAAACTTAGTTAGGTCCCCTGCAAGAGCCGTACATGCTCTTTTAACTACTGAGCCATATCTCTAGACTCAAGGTTTTATTAAATCAGCATTATTTTTTGCAAAGGGCCTGGTATCTGCTAGGCAAGCACTCTACAGTTGAGCTATACCCTCAGTCTCATGATTTATTTTTGTGAGCTTGCCCATTCTTGACCCACGGTGTGTGTGTGGAGGGGGGAGACGGTGAGGATGTAGGCAAAGACAGCAGTGACTTGCCCATGAATTCACTGCCAGCTTTGGGGCACCCAAGCAGAGGCTGGTAGAAGATAAGGGAGGTTCTCCCTACAAAGGTGGAGCCTAGGCAGTGGTCCCAATGCCATTCTTTTTTTGTTTGTTTGCTTTTGTTTTTGTTTTCGAGACAGGATTTCTCTGTATTGTTTTGGAGGCTGTCCTGGAACTAGCTCTTGTAGACCAGGCTGGTCTCGAACTCACAGAGATCCGCCTGCCTCTGCCTCCGGAGTGCTGGGATTAAAGGCGTGCGCCACCAACGCCCGGCCCAATGCCATTCTTGAGCCCTCTGCACACACAGACGCACAGCAAGTACTATGAAAGAACAAATGCAGAATTGATAATGAGCCTTATTGCAGCCATGGGGAGAAGCTCAGACATCACTCCAGACTGCCTCAAGTTCAACTAGTGACCCACTTAGGGAAGCCCCCCCAACCCCCCACATTTCCTGTTTTTAGTCTGCCCCACTTCCGCTTAGGCTGCGGTCTGGAGAAACACTTGCTGGATCAGCTTCCTTCAGTGCCGATCTCCCCCTCCCAAGATTGAGTTCTTATCTCTGTTGCTGGGCACTTGGCAGAGAGCCAGCATGACTCCCGCCCCAGAAAGCGTGTGCCTGGGTTCAGAGCCTGCTTCTGCTGTGCACTAGGCACCTAGGGACACAAGCAATTCGTATCTTCCAGTTCTCTAAAGCAGGAGTGAATGAGGAATAAATGAAACACCCAGCTGGGTGCCCAGTGTCACTAAGGGCTGTCCTGGAGTTCCAGGGCTGCCAGCCTCTCACAGGTCCTACAATCTGCTTTTGCACAATCCTTTGTCCACGGTTCCCAACCCAGGCAATTCAGGTGTGTCCAGACACACCTTGGGGGAGTGGCAGATTGGAAGTGCCGCTGGCTAACTGAACTAAATGTGCCATGAACTGCTCACAGCCTGCTCTCCTGACTCCACAGACTACAAGCTCACCTTACTCTAAGAAATAGGCCTAATTCTTTGGGAGGTTGAAAATAGGTGTGGGGGTAGGGTAGGAAGGAGGCATCTTGGTTCTCCCTTTCCCTCTCTCCTAAACTAGACTTTGCCAACTTGTTTTTGTATTCACATGGAGGTGGAGAGTGCCGGGAAAGGGGAAGAGAGCGGGGTACTTTCTGGGACAGCCTACCAACTGGTCCCCCACAGCCAATGCTAGAGAGGACAGGTCTGTTACACTGCCCTCAGGTGACTATGGATGAGCCTACACAAAAGTAGCTCCACACTTCACAGGGGTGATGCAATACTCTCTGTACAGAGCTGGCCAGCTGGGGAAGCCACCTGCCAGCAAAAACAAGCAGACCAAGAGTGGACGCTGCCAGCAAACCAAACCTAGAATGTGGGCACCAGAAACTGCAACTGTGCCAATATTGTCAACAGGCAATGGATGATGTCCCACCCAGCCCATGAAGGGAGGCGGGCCCTGTCCATGCATTTATATCCTTCCAGACTCAAAAGAGGCAGTGCTATATATCTCATGGGGTTGGGTTTGCTCAGCTGCAAGTCCCAGCTGGGCCAGCAGAACACCCCACCTTGGAGCCCATTTGGTGTGTGTGACATGAAGCAGAGGTTGCACACACTGAGCACCCCATGCAATGGCATTCTTATCCTAAGCCTAGACTCTAGGCCCTAGAGGCTTACTTACCTGCAATTCAACCCACTCAAGCCTAGGCAGAACGATGGTAAAGCCAGAGAACAGGAGAGAAGTGGCTCTGGGAGGTAGCGCCAGGGACACATAGGAAGACTTCAGGGTCATCAAGTCCCAGGCACTGAGCCACAGAAAGTCACTCTGAAGACAATGCTGCTTTGATCCCAAGGCCAGAAACCAGGTTGGTCACCAGTCTGAGGTCACCTTAGCCCTACCTATCTTTAGCTCAGTGTAGTTTGCAGAGTCTTGAGACACAATGTCAGAATACTTACATTCCCCCTACCCACAGGACACCAAAAAGCCATTTTGGGTTGAATGAGTAAATGGATGATTGACATGCCAAACTCAGAACGTCTACCAGGGAGTCCTGACTCCCACGACTCCCACTCCCAACGATTCTTAAAAGAAAAACCCATGCTTCTCCCATAGGTACCTTCGCAAAGTGAGGGTCAACCCCACTACACTCAAGCCTGCCTATCTCCACCATCTCCACCTAGACTGGGCCAACTGTGTCCCTCCCACTCTGTTCTGCTCCTTCTCTCTCTGTCATCCCTGAAGAGATCACCAGGTCTGTGTAAAAAGTTAAGCTAGATACCACCTTTATCCAGAGGTTCCCTTTATACCTACAATAAAGGCCAGTGCCCACCTCAGCCTGCCAGGCTGCAGGAGTCCTAGACCCTCTTCTCCAGCTGTTCCCCCATCAACCTTGACCCTGACACAGCCATGTCTTAAGGCTCTTCCTGCCTCTGAAAGGTCCTCCCCATCCCATGTACACATCAACATTCAGTCTCTCCAGGTCTCTGGGCAAATGCTATCATGTAGTTGAGACCTGCTCAGCCCACCCTGTCCTGGTCAGTGACCATCTTTTGTGGCTCACCCTCGATACCTACTCTCAGAGGCTCTTCTCAGAATCCAAGCCCATCAGACACATTAATCCCCTTGTGTCCCTCTGTGCCTCCTTAAATGGAAAATGCACCCCCATTGCATCAGACTTCACATGTATTGAACCCAGACTAGGATACCTAGGCCCATACCTAGCAGGCAGGCACTCAAGGGGAGCTTACAGATCATGTTTGCTGTGTGTTGGCAGAGCCTGTGTTTAGCAAGACCCAGGCCTTGGATTCCATCATCCTCAGCAAAGAAAGAGGAAGAGAGAAAGCAAACTAAAGTTGGGCTTGGTGGCACATGTCTGTGATCCCAGTTTGAGGCTGACCTGAGTCACACAGGGAAAACCAAAATCAAACAAAACGCAATGAATGACTGAAACTGAATACATCCACAAGGCCACTCTTGGGTGCCCCCACCCCTGGAGTCCACACACAATCTTCTGTAATCCTCCTTTTAAGGAGGATTCAATGACATCTTTATAAACCTCTGCCAATCCCTAGGCCACCAGACAGACCTGCAACAAAGTCCAGAGAGAGGCTCCAGTGCCCTTGTACCATCTCAGCCACTGCCGGTGGCTTGCACCTTTCCTGAGCTACTCTTCTTTCAGTCCGGAAGGCTTCTGAGCAGGGTGCATCCCCCAACAGAAAGTCAAAGCTCCCTGCTCAACTGCCTAATCACTGAAAGTCCTTACCGGGGTACCTCTGGGCTTCTCCAGTAGAAAAGCTTGTGCTTGTGCTTGGTTTCACTATATTGGAGAAAGGAGGTGACCAGACACCAGTCTTGGCCAGGTGTGCCTGAGCATCCGAAGGACAGCACCAGCAACAGACTTCCCCTGGGATCCGGCAGATGCGCTGGGGGCTGCGGACGCCCGCCCTTCCCCTCCCCCTCCAGCACCTCCAGAGGCTTTGTCATCCCAGTTCCTGGAGTGTCTGGGCCCTCAGCGCCGGGACGGTTCCCCGCCAGCGGCCGCAGAATACTCAGAACGCCCGGCACCAGGGCCCTGCACCTCGGGTCCCCGGCGCCTCGGGTGCCCTGGCCGCCTCTCCCGGTGCCCTGGCCTCTTCTTCCCTCCCGGGTTCGCCCAACCTCGGCTGCCCTAAGCGCTCCGACTGCGCAGGCCCTGGCGTGGATGCAGCACCAGCTCCATCAGTCCCGGACTGCCACACTCACCAGCACCGGGCGCGGAGGGCCCGGTCCCCGGACTCCGCCACCAGCGTAGCAGCGCCCGCGCGGGCTCCAGGCTGACGGCGCAGCGTTCCTGCTTCACCCACAGCACCGACTGCAGCGGCTCCGCCGCCCCCATCGCGCCCATCGCCGCCGGCGCGGCCTCGTCCGCCGGGCGCGGGGCGCGCGGACGCCGGGGGGCGCGGGACCGTTAGCGGCCCCTGCAGTCAGCCCGGCGGTGTCGCGGGGAGGCGGGAGCGGGAGGCGGCGCTGCGTCACCCAGTACGCAGAGAGGGCGGCGGGGACCCGGGGCGGGGTGTGGGGACCCGGGAGGAGACTACCAAGATGAGACAGGAGACGCTGAACTTGGGGACTCAGAAGAAGCAGAAGATCGAGGGAGCCTAGGTTGGGACGCAGAATAGGCCTAGGAAGAAACGGGAGGGGTCAGAGGAGGCAGCCGAGGGGTCTGGGTGTGGGGAGTGCGGTCGAAGCGACCGGGTGCTCTGGACGTCGCGAGGCTGTGGCTCTCTGTTCCTGGGCGCTGCTAGGTCTGCACGCGCGACGGGCGGGGGAGGGGTTGTAATGACAGGCGGGGTGCCCAGCAGCGCAGAAATACTGCTCAAGAGGTCGTGTGCTGGTGGTGGGAGGCTTTGGAACTGCCGGTGTGTGCCGACGAGCAATGTGACCTTGGGCATCGGTCTCTTTTTAGGTCCTGGTCTCCTGGCGGCTGGGAAGAGTCCTGCAAGCTGGCCCCAGCAGGCAAGGGAAGGCTGGGAGAAGAACAGAGAGCCACCTTCCAAGGCCTTGAAGCTCAATCTGTAGATGGATGTGGATCTACACCCACCAGAGGGATAGGGATGGAGTTTTCATGTCAGTCACCTGACTGTTCCCTCCCTAACGGGCCTAAGGAACCTTAGTTGCTATTCCTGATGGGATGTATCCCTGGACTCCCCCTCTCCCAGCTAAAGGATCCCAAGGCACAGTAGGGCAGTATTCAGCACTGCCTTGAAAGCATGTTCACCCATCTCCGTGAAAATTCCATAGGCATATGGGCTTGTCCCTTACTGTCTCCAGTATCTAAAATGGTCACTGCACACAGTGTTACTAATCAAATATTGGTTGCACGATGGCATCTATTCACAACTGACCAATGTAGACGGTCTAAGAGTGCAGAGCTCTGATGTGACAGAGCCAAGCCTCACAGAGAAGGTTCTGACTTCAAGAAGGCTGGAGAGTCACCTGTCCTCTCTGTCAGCTCTCCTGCTGCTGCACTGAGGCAGAGCTGACTAAGTCTACCTTGCCGCGCTGCTGTGCCTGGTACTGGATGGCTAAGGTTCAGGGCTGATCCTGTCAGTGCCCTGTGTCCGTCTGCAGTGCAGTAGCAGCCATGAATCACTCGCTTCCTGGAAGCCCAGCCCAGTTCTAGATTCCAGGATAGCCCTGTAGTGTTGGTTAGGCAGAATCCTAGCCCCACCCTTGAGCAAGCTGGACCTGATCTAGCTCAGTGGTTAGTTGTAGGAAGGGTTGTTCCAGCTCTTTCCTTCCAAAGCTGTCATGATGAGGCTTGGAGAATGTGGACATGAAACCTGGTGTCATTGCTGGATGGGTGGCGCCACCACTGTTACATGTTGTGGGTTGTGAGAGGCAAGGGCGTCTGGGGCCAGGGACTCTAGAACACTAGCTTCTTTGTTGGGGCCTCTTCTTCTGGATTTCCTGCCCCTTCACATTTAATCATACAGTAGTTTATTTATTATTGTTGTTTATTGGTTTTTGGTGTTTTGAGACAAGGGCTTCTCTGTGTGACAGCCATGGCTGTCCTGGAACTCACTCTGTAGGCCAGACTGGCCTCTAACTCAAAGATCCACCTGCTGAGATGAAAGGTATGACCCCACAATTCTGTAGCCAGACAGGGTTCCCAAGAGGGCTTGACCCAACCCTAGCCCTACAGGGGTTCCTTCCAGGAAGACACAGTCACACAGACCACAAAATACTAGAGAATCTGAGGAGGGACCCCTATGTGGACTTACAGCCACTAGTGAGACCCAGGGTCCCCCAGTGCAAGCTATGGACTGAATTGTAACCCTATTCAAAGTCCAAAGCTCCAAGTTTGAGTGCCATGGATAGTGACTTATTTGGAGACAGGGCCTTTAAAACGGTGATTAAATGAGGCCTTCAAGGGGTGGGAAAATAGCTTAGTCCATGGACAGAGTTTGCCACTTGGCCTCCAGACATACTCACCCACATATGTGCATCTACACGCATATGAACACATGTGCAAACAAGTTAGACCATTAGGGTGAACTTAATCCAGTTTGAGTGGTATACTTAGTATAGGGGAGATTTGAACACAGATGCCAGGACTGTGTTCAGAACACAGAACATGAGAAAGGAAAAGTACAAGAGGAATAGCCGTCTGTAGGCCTCAGAAGACCCAGCCTGGTTGGACTCTTGGTCTTAGGCTTCCAGCCTCTGTGAACCAGCATCAGGAAGCAGCGCTAGGTGTTGAATCAGTGGTGACCCTGACCAACTAATGTTTTAGGCTGCTAGCCTGAGTAGCTGCAGTTCCAGAACTGGCTGGGGAGCCTCTGCCAGGGGAGAGCAGCCTAATGAGGACTGTGTTCTGGGAGGACACACTTGGTGAAGCTGAGATGAACAGTATGGACTGGCTCAGACCCTTCAGGCTGTGGACCATAATTGGGGGTGGAAGGAAGGAGGCTGCTGTGTCCACAGCCGCTGCCAGGCCTGCCCTCCCACACTGCCTGTGAACCCCCTGGGACTCTTCAGTTGCTGGGTGTGAAAACAAATGGCAGAACAGCTGACAGAGCCTCCGAAACACCTACACAGCCTGAATCAGCCCTGGGAGGTGGGCCTCTGCACTGGAATGCACATCCAGCTCGCCTGATTGCTCCCCCATGCCACCTGACTCACTTCTTCCCTTGCTGGGCTCTCATCCAAACACCTTCCATGTCTATTTAGAAGGTCCCTACCCAGCTGCCTTACCCACAGCCACCCTCTTCATGCTGTCACAGAACTTCACCTGTGCCTCGCTCCCTACAGCCAATGATGCCCCAACCTGTTGCTGGCCTTGGGCATGCACATCTGGGCTCAGATTTAGAGGGACCCTGGGTAACTAGGAAGACCAGGAACATAGCCTCAGCCCGAACAGCCTGGAGCCTCCTGAGCCAGACACTGGCCACCCCCAACCCCCGTCATATGTCCAGTCTACAAGTGGAAGTATTCAGTTTTGACCTGACACTTGGGGTCATGTGAATCTGGGCATCTGGCCAGCTGTGGCCAGCAACACCCTCTCTCCTGGGTGTTCTCTTGTACATAGGCTGCCTGGCTCCTGAGGTCCTGTCTAGTACTGCACATTACCTCTAAACATGAGTGTCCCTCCCATTGGGTCACGCACCAGAGAGTTGTTCAGGCACTTGCAGCACCTTCCAATTGAGTTCTTTCTGGGCTCTAAGCCCCCCTTCCCCCAAGCCCTACCTCCTAGGAGCCCGAGCTCTTTTTATACTCTGGCCTGCCTGGTTATCTTCCCAAGCTTCCTCCCTGATGAAGTCAGCAGGACTAATTGACATCAGAAACTGGGACACTGCTGGGCGGGCCTAGGGGATCCGGCAGGCCATACCTACAGGCTGCCAGGAATGCTGCCCTCTACCCTCCACCATCGAGGAAGAGCCTTCCAAGCACTACCTGTCAAAGCTGACTGCCTGGAAGGCGTGTCCTGGGCTTGGAGGCCCAGTGTTTGAGAGGCAAGCTCATGGTTCACCAAATGCACAACTATAACTGCCTTCGGGAGTCAATGACTGGAAACGCCCATTATCTACTCCATTTTACAAATGGAAAAGGGAGATTCAAGAAACCAAATTGACAGGCTCAAGTTACAGGAAAACGGTTAGATGGGCAGGTACTTCGAGTTCTCCTGCCCCCAACACCTCAGAGTTGAAATGGAAAGTTAGAAAGTAGCATAAACCGAGGTCAGTGCTGTCCGTGGACAACACTTGCTTCTTGGGAATCGCACTGGGTCAGTCAGTCCACCTTTTAGGGCAGAGAGGAAAGGAAAATTCTGGCAAAAGTGTCTTTTCCCATCTAAGAAATCCAGGCTTGAGCTGAAGAGCAGGTGGCCCTCAGTGTGACAGAGCCAGATAAATCTGAACAGGAAAGGCTTTGGAGTAGATCTTGCCCAAATAATCCTGAACTGGAGACAGGGATCATGGCTGGTTATGCCTCTGGACAGCTCGGGGAGTACCCTGGGGGAGTACCTTGCTGAGACCAGACTGGTTTGCTTTGAGTCTGCAAAGGTCTCCAGACCTGCAGAGGTGACCGGTCCTGGGCAGGGACAGGAATTGAATACTCTGCTTAGCTGGAGCTCATGTGGTCCCCCAAGGGCCCCGTGTCCCCAAGGCAAGGAGACAGCTTTGTGAGCATGGAGGCTAGCCCAGGGTTATGAAGCAAGAAAGAGAACTTGGAAGGAACACAATTGCAGGATTCAGAGTTTGGCCTCCACTACCTGACAGCCTTTGACCACTGTCCACATTTCTTCCCATATGGGGAGCTTCCCAGGATGCCAGACCCCAAGGAAGGGGCCTTGGTAGCCTCTCTTGGGAAAAACACCACTTCTTAGGATGTGAGCTCCAGGCAGCTCATGTGGGAGAGAGGGCCCCCTTCTTATCTCTGCAGCTGGAGGAAAGATGGACAGCCTTAAAAATTTTTGACAACTTTGTGGACTCACAGTTTCTCGCTATGTCAGGGGGTGGGGACTGAGAAAGGGACTGGTAGGGAGTGAACTGAGTCTGTGCCTCCCTCTCCCAGCCTCTCCCTTCCAGTCTCCCCCTCCCAGGTTTCAGTAAGGGATACAATGTAGCCTTCAGTCATTCCGGAGAGTAGAAGCTGCCACAATGTTTAGCTTTAGGAGTCGGGTGAAAGTCACCCCCAAAGCATCCATCCAGTGGCCCCCGAGATCCTCCATGACCTAGCTGAGTAGCTTTGGCACACTGGTAGCTGCTTGGGGGTGCTCAATGGACCCTGATCTGGAGGAAGACGTAGGAGGACCCAGAGGTCATTGCTGTATCTTGGTTGGTACGTGGAGGAGCAAGGAGACCTTCTTCAGTCTGTGCTTTTTTTTTCACTTGCCTTTTTGTGTTCAAGTGAAGAAGCAGTGGGAAAACTCTGGAGAGGGTCATTTCGGAGAGATAACACAAGCCATGTTCAAGGCAACAAGCTTGGTCACACGGGGTGTAACGTAGTGGATCCAACCCAAAATCAAAACCAAAAGAAATTTCAATTTGTTTTGAAAGAAAAGAAAAAGATCAGTAGAAACGGAATGCCACTGGACTCGGCGCTCATAGATGGCAAAGAAGATATTGTGGCCCCAAGAAAAAGCCACACTAAAAATACCACTATCCAGTGCTGGCAGAGAAGGATGGGTGTAGATGGAGACTTCTGTTCCTCCTCCTTCAGATGGGCGATTGCAAGGATACACAGGAAGATGAAGGGAGAAGTCTACCACCCTTGACAGTCTGCCAGAAAACTTGGGGGAGGGGGTAAGGAAACCTGAATTGAAAGGAGGGTGCTGTACCTTGAGAATAATGCTGACCAAGTGATTGACGAGATCTCTCTCTCTCTCTCTCTCTCTCTCTCTCTCTCTCTCTCTCTCTCTCTCTCTCTCACACACACACACACACACACACTCACACTTTCTATAGCTTCAGGAGCCAGCTCTCCTCTATCATGTGGATCATGGGGATCAAACTCAGGTCATCAGGCTTGGCATGTTAAACTGTTTTGCTGGTCCAGTAACTTCCCCCCACCCCCAAACCACTTCCCTATGCTGTCTTCCTCCCAGGGCTGTCGCTTCTGACATCCTCTATCAGCCCTTGTCATTTAGCTGTATGTAAGCAGTCACTGTGACTTCTGCAGAGAGCAGGGCCATACCCTCCCCTGCAGAGATCTGCCTGTCAAAAGGTGACAGCACTGTGAAGCTCCAGTCATGTGTTGCCAGTTAGGGACAAGGACCCTTGTGGCAGAGTTTTCAAGAGAAGACAGAAAGCCACACTTTTCTAAGTGACTCTAAAATAGCAATGGATTTAGTTCTAAAGTGGAAAGTG